AATATATATCATATATAATATAAGGATGACTCATCGGGATATATAATATATATAATATATATATCATTCGGGGGGACAAACGGGGCGGGGCTCGGGGCCGGGGCCGGGGCCGGGTCCGGGATTGAAACATGTATCCCCGTCCCCGGCTCGAATATCACCGAGGATACATTTTTTAATACCATCCTCAGCCCATCGGAGGTATTTTTCGGGGAATAACCGCTTAATTTGGGGTCGGGGGGTCGGGTCCCCGTCGGGTCGGGTTTCGATTGCCATCTCTATTCCTAGGGACCAAATTACCGATATTGTCAGAGAAATGTGTGGACCTATGGCTCAGGGGGTCTAGACTCCTGTATATAGAAAGCCATACCCAGAATGGGTGGATAGGGTGCATGAATACCTAAGGGGGTTTAGAATACCAGACTTTGCTCTCTTTTATGGAAATAGAAACTAATCAACAGTAGAACACATTACCAAGTTCGCAGGCCAATGTGGTGAATTTACCAATAATGATTATATGAAGTTGAGATTCTTTCCAAATTCTTTAACTGAGGTAGCCTTTGTATGGTATATTAACCTTACACTTGGTTCTATCCAAACTTGGCAGCAAATGGAGGAGACATTGCATGCCCAATTCTTCCAAACAAAGCCTGAAGTTTCCATGGCAGATTTGGCAAGGTTGAGCCAAAGGCCTGATGAGAAGGCTGCTCAATTTATTGCTAGATTCAAACGAGCACGAAACAAGTGTAGGGTCATTCTACCAAAGCCTGAATTTGTGAGATTGGCTCAAAATGGTTTAGAGTTTAGGCTTCGAAAGAAGTTCGATTCAACTAAGTTTCGAGACTCAGTGGAATTAACCTATAAGGTGTCTAGATATGAATCTTTACTTGAGGAAAAACATGATCGAAGTAATGCATCATATAAGACCTATTATAAGGACCCTAATTATGAAATTGATGTAACAAAAATCGTAGGAAAAGAACCTATGACATGTGAGACGTTAATTCAGAAGGACAGTACAATAGACCAGCAGTTTAAAAAGAAAGACCTTCATAGGAAGTATTCTTTTGATTTAACAAAAGCATATGACATTTTTGATTATTTGCTTGCAGCAAATTTCCTAAAGTTACCAAAGGGAATTAAGATCCTTACCCCAGAAGAACTTAAAGGGAAAATGTACTGTAAATGACACAATTCTTAATCTCATTCAACTAAAAACTGTATTGTTTTTAGGAACAGGATCCAAGAACAAATTCGAAAGGGGAGTTTAAAGTTTCCAGCCAAAGAAAAGGAAGTTATGGGGATTAACACCAACCCGTTTCCAGAGATTGGGAAGGCTACAACCAATGTTGGCATACCAGATTTCCAAAACCTATCCTTGAAGGAATTGAAGGAGGTTAATGTGCAGATGCATGTTGCCAGCCAGACTGCTTTCAAGAAGGATACCAGAAGTTCACCAACAAATGGACAGAGCTTTGCGGACCAAAAGGATGACTCTAGTGAGGAAGCACTGGATGATGACTCTCTTGAGGCAGTTGTCATGCAAAGGATGCGTTCCAGATGCAGGTTAAGTTACAAATGGCTAAAAGGGCTTCCAATTAATGGGAAACAGTATTACAAGGATGTACAGAGACGCCCTAAGCCAACCAATACCTACAACAAGAGGCCATACCCAACTGGTCCCAGACAGCAGCCATTCTTGGTTGGACCACCAGCCACTAGAATGCAATCCAAGGGTAAGAGACCTCTGCATGAGTTCAGACCACCCAATTACTATAGGATAGAAGTCAATTATCCTGAGAGAAGGCCTGAATTGGGCTCAAGTTAGGGAATCAGAGCCAGTAATTGGCCACCAAAGTCAACTTTGAACAAGATGCAAGGCAATTACCCTGAAAGAAGGCCTAAATTAGGCTCGAGATAGGGTGCCAGAGCCAGTGGTTGGCCTCAACAATTAGCTTCAAAGGTGGCTTCAAAGACTGGGAAAACAAGTTTAGCAATTGAATTAGTGAGTTCATAGGTACCCAGGGTGCCAGACTGGTTTGTCATACAGAACAAGCCTAAAGAAATACCTGCACAGAGAAATGTCTTTGGAGACAAGGGCAGAATGATTAAACCTCCCTTGGTAGCTCCAAATAATTGGGTATTAGTAAAGCACCCAAAAACAAAGAAACCAGATATCGTTCCAATAATCTATAGGTCTCAAAATAGAAAGATCCAGCGAAGGTACACCCAGTACCAAAAGGATCTGAAGGAAAGTGGAGAGAGTTTTTCATTGGCCCAGTCAAGAGGCCAGACAGAGGAAAAAGAAAGTCTAAAATTGGCTTCTCAGAGCAAAAGAAGTGTCAATAGAGAGCAGCTGGCTTTTACATTGAACTAAAAACCAAGGAAAGATCCAGCTTAGCAGGTCTTGAAAAGGCCTTGATGGAAAGCGATAGTGAGACAGAATGAGAAGTTGAGCTAGGCCAAAGGAAAGAAATGGATAAAGATGAGATATTTGAAGCCTTCATGGCTGAACAGACCTTTTTGGTCGAAAAGCCAACAGGAGCAGACCACAAACAAGTTGATTCGAAAGAAGTCACCGGTACTGAGATACCAGAGTGCAGCATGGAAGATGCTTCCGAAACAATTAAACAAGTTAGTTTGGAAGAGAAACAAGTACAGCCAGTAGTTCAGTTTGGCTCATTTTCTCCAGTGTCAATAAACATGGTATATTTATTGCCACAGGAGTTCCAGCTTAAAGATGGAAACCAAGAAGGTTAGGAAGATGACCTTATTCCAGTTTCTAGTGAAGATTCACAGGTTAGCATAATTCAAAATGAGTTTGAAGTATGAAAGTGAGGAGGTGAGTATTAATCTCTCGTATCCCTTCAAATACCCTACAACATCTATGACGTAGCATGTTAAGCCCGTATATATCAAGGCTTATTTCGATGGGATACAAATGAACAGGGTGTTAGTAGATAATGGGGTAGCAGTGAACCTGCTTCCGAAGTCCTCTGTGAAGAAATTGGGAAAAAAATCCCAAATTAATCCCAACCAGCACAACCATTGCTGGCTTCGCTGGGGATAAACAGATGGCTTAGGGCATCTTGCCCATCAACTTGAGTGTGGGAACCAGAGATTGCATGACAGCATTCTTTGTTATAGATAGTAATGCCAAGTATAATGCTTTACTTGACAGGGAATGGATCCACACCAACAAATGTGTGCCTTCCTCTCGACATCAGAAAATAATGATCGCCCTATGCAATGAAGAGACAGAGGAGATCAACACAGACCCTCAACTCTTTGTCGCTTGTGCTGACTTTGCAGAGGCCAAGTCATATATTGAAGGAGTGACACCACTCAGTAAATTGAGAAAACCTGATGGAACAGCCGAAATGACGACTGATAAGGAAGTAACACACCTGAAGCACTTAGTACAGGAGAGTGCTGATGAAGTGTTCATCACCAAGGATGATAATGATGCCTGGTTGTAGGCAAGAAGATAAGACCCAAGAAGCCAAACCCTTGGCCTTAGTCAAGTTTTCAACATTAGACATAAAATCAATAGTCCAGAAGGTTCAGAAAGAAGAGAGGGAAGCCATGGTGGTTGGCTGTAATCAGGAGCAACAGAAAAACAGGCTTTTGGCCTTTGATAAGTACTGTGCATTGGACATCGAAACAAAAGTCCAGGAAATACAGGAAGAATAAGCCTTATGAACAAATTTTGTCTATGAGGAAGAAGGCAAAGATGTTAAACCAGAGAAGGTGGGAGCAGGGCAAAAAGAAGAAGTTGCTTCGAAGGCAGAAGAAGTCAATGGAGAAGAATTAGTAAGTGCTCAAGTACAAGACCTCTTGG